CTTGAAGTTTTCGGTCTTCACTGACAGCACGGATCCGTTCCAGCTTGAGTCGGCTAGCTGCGTCGCCGTCACTGCTGCCGTCCTCGGGTGTTGTCTGCACGATGCTCACCCGTCCGGCGGCGATCTCTCCGAAGCTCACCGCCTTCTTAGTGATAGCATCGCGCAACTGCCAACCGAAACGTGGAACCAGTTCATTGCCGACTTTCATTTGCTCCATGGAAGCAGACTCTGGAGATAGGAAACAACGTGATGTATTTCATTTTGAAAGTGATCGGTACGATTAACAGATAATGTTGTCTTAATAGAACCAACGCCAAGGCCGGATCAAGTGCGGTGATCAGGAAGTTGTAGGAAGCGTCGATCAGGTTAATCTTCTGTCGCCTATAAGCCGCTGGATCCGCCTCAAGACAAAATATATGCTGAAACCCTACCCAATGCTCCTCCACCTCCTCATACCCCCTGCTCCACCTACGTAGTCCTTCCATAACCCACTTGCCCCCACCACCCCCGACCCTTATTCTTCCAGCGCCATTGAAATTCGCAAAACTAGCAGCGGTCGTTAAGTTCACATTCCCGACCGTTTTATCACGCAATTGTTTTGACATTGCATTTACCTTCGGCGTCGGCCTACGTCAATATTCAGCCTAGGCGCAGGTTTTTGGTAGCCCCTTGCCATCTTTTTTAGTTCAAAGCAATTTTATAGTTATTTTATTTATTATGCATTTCCTGAACCCACATTTATTCATATTTGTTGGTGTTTATTTATGGCTAGGCGATGCACTCCAACTGGTGTGCGTTTTGGTATCATCAATTCAGACTTCATCCAATGCCCTTCTTTTTCTTCTTCTTTGCTGGGCTGCGTTATCAGCTAAGTCCGTTATAGCCCAGCTGTCTGCTTGGTTTACCTTGACTCTTTATTACCATTCGACCGTAATATTGATCTTCTTAACTCGCTTAACGTCCGTTGGAGTTCCCACAAATTACTTGGATATGCAAAGGGGAATATGGCTGACATTCTGAAAATATTTTTAGATGGAAAAGCGTAGGGGAAGTTGCGTTTGCAATTTGAGGTTTGTGCATGCAGAGGCTTACCATATGCGACACATTCGAGTGAAGCGTTATCCCCGGGATTCGCGACGAACTTGTCCTCATCATTCAGGCCGATGATACGCAGATGTACTGCGTCCTTCGCAACTAAAAGGTTGAACGTGAAACAGCGTGTCCAATTAATTCCGTCTAATTTAACTGGCTCTGCTTTATCTACTGCAAGAATACAAAATAAACGCGTTACTATCCTCTAAACTGCTGGACATAAGTATTCATGTTTGTCAGGTTAAAATGCAAGCCATTACCTGCGCCAGGTGTCCAGATTATTGGCTTTTCAGGTCCCTCAACTGGCCTGGGCTCCGTTGGTTCCCCATTAGGAGAGGGCCTTGGACGAATGTGAATAGCAAAGACGTCGGAGGCTAGTACTGGGATGGGTGGACCCTGGCTTTGAGAGCGCTGCTCAAGAGAGACGAGATGCGATGTCGGCGAAACGAGACACTGACCTCTGAATCCACCTAGGCTCTCCTTGCTCTCTCGAAGATGGATTAAATGAAGGGCAGACCCATCGAACACAATTTTTTCAGCCAGGCGACTCAACTCTACGGCTTGGTTGTCCGGACCGGTGGATACCTTCCAACCAAAGGATAGACCCTCATCCAAAGGAACGCCCGTTTTGATATCTGTAAAGTATGGGAAATACTCAATCCCTCAGTATTTTAGGAACTTTTGACTTCAGCTGTATTAACTAACTTCCTCCTCGGTTAGGCCATTATTGCTAATTCGGTTTCAAACGAACAACAGGTCACAAATATCCGTAGGTGATTTGCGCTGTCAGGTAAGGATTGTCCAGTGCCATTATAGAAACTTTCAACTCCTTAAGGTCGTTAAGCGTAAATAACTCACAGGTTGATCGCCCAGACGGACTTACAAATTGTGCCGGTGAGGAGTGAAAAAAACGTGACAAGATTTGCGGAGCTACAAGTTTGAACATCTTATTTGGACAAAGACAATTACGAACAATCTTAACCTGTGTCTTCCAATCAAGGTTATGAGGTAAGATCTAAAAAGCAAGCAAACCCTTCCACACTTTTTGCAACCACAAAGTTATGAATGTTCAAGTTAACTATGGTAATTTAGCGCACAGAAAGTCGTATGTAGTAAGATCAAATGTAAAGCCAAAGATTTATTGATTAAAATACTGACTTCCTCTGATGAAAACGAAACCACACGAGAACTGGTAACTTCTTCTTAGCTCACTGCAGATGTACACATGGGATGCTTAATGGCAGTAAGAAGTATATTGTCGCCAACAGGCAAAACTACTCACCACTGACGCTGCATCGTAGGCTGGCATTTTCTCCGGCGACTGCTGTCAGTGTACCATCAGGGCCTAGTCCATCAATCTCGGTTTGTAAACGGGAGAGGTCTGAAGGGCAAAAAGAGGACAATTGTTTCATGCGAAATTCAGGGTGGCTGAAATGAAAATAATTAAGAGGTGACAGATAATAAGGCTGAGATAGTTGTCCGAAGTTGCAAGTGTACGCCAACAATCCTTCTTGTGGATGTCCGTTGTCGAACGATTACACAGTCTGACTTGGTAGTTTACCTTAAAGGGCTTCATAAGTGACTATATGCTCTGGATATATGATGTGATGACAATTTGAATGGAAGTTTTATGTGCATGTTTTATGCAATACCGCGTATTTAAGGTTGCTTTATGAGTGGGAAAGGTGTAAGGGATGTTAGAGATAGGTTATATGGTTTTTATAGAAGGCCCCTAACAGAACTCGGTCATTATTATTATTATTATTATTA